CCCTCCCCAGGTGACCCCACTCACGTTGTCGGGGTCGAACACGAGGGGGTGGGGGCAGCGCTTGGGCCCCGACCAGAACAGGGTCCCCGAGTTTGTTTTCTGGCGGGAAGAGAGAAAATCAGGTTAGCAAGGTCATTAATTGAGCTTAATGAGTAATTAATTGGAGTTACTGAGCCAATTGTTTAAGTCGACAACGTATTAATTAGATTAACAAGATAATCAAGGGGTGCCCACCTGTCTTGGCAAATGTTGGGGTAAATGAAATAATAGGGTTAACAAGGTAATGTGTGTTAACAAGGCAATTAATTTGGGTTTAGGAGGTAATTAATGAGAGTTAAGGAGATAATTAATGAGTGTTGAGGAGATAATTAATAGTGGTGCCCACCTCTCCTGGGGAGAAGTTGTGCAGCAGCTGGCAGATGTTGGGGTAAATGAGGTAATTGATTGGGGTAAATTAGATAACTAACAGGGTTAGTGGAGCAATTAATTGGGGCTAACAATGTAATTAACCAGGTTAACAAGGTAATTAACAGGTGCCCACCTGTCCCAGGGGTAAGTTGTGCAGCAGCTGGCAGATATTGGTTGGGGTAAATAAAGTAATGAGGGCAAATAAAGTAACTAATGGTGTTAATAGGATAATTAATCAGGGCTAACAAATTAAGTAACAAATTAATTAAGCTCTTCCATCTGTCCCAGGGGTAAGTTGTGCAGCAGCTGCTGGATATTGAGGTAAATGAGTCTGGGGTAAACAAAGCAATGAGGGCCAATAAAGTAACTAATGGTGTTAATAGGATAATAAATCAGGGCTAAGAAGATAATTAATTAAATAACATGTTAATTAAGCTCTCCCACCTGTCCTGGGGGGAAGTTGTGCAGCAGCTGGTGGATGCTGGGGTAAACGAGGTTGGGATAAATGAAGCAATGGGGGCAAATAAGGTAACTAATGGTGTTAATAGGATAATTAATCAGGGCTAACTAATTAAATAGGGTGTTAATTAATGTCTCCCACCTGTCCCGGGGGGAAGTTGTGCAGCAGCTGGCGGATGTTGTTGCTGTACTGGCGGTGCCAGTGCCGGCAGGCCCAGGCCACGCAGTCGGGCCAGGCGCGGGGCCGGTCGCTGACCAGGCTGCGCTGCACGGCCTCCAGCACCTCCAGCGGCTGCGTGCCCGCCAGGCGCAGGGTGCGCTCCAGGAACTTGGGGTCCCTGGGG